TAAGTGAATTTACTCACGATATTTCTAACCCCCCAAAAAATATTTACTTTCTAATGTGAAGTGTATACACTGTGTTGTTTGTACGAACTAATGATTCCTTTGTACTTGATGACTGCTTGATTTGGATTCCAAATACGATACGTTCATCCGTGCTCATATAGTTCTTCGTGGTTAAATTGATTTATTTCTGGGATTCCTAGTTCGTACAATAATTCAGTTACTTCAAATCATCACATGGGCGTCGCGATGAAGCCTGTGATGGAACAGTTAGACATACATTCAGATTTTGATGCTTTTGAGGATTATGTAGATGGCGTCGTGTCTAGACTGACTATGACCACCACTACAATAAGATTAAGCGGCCGAAAACGACTAGGTTCCTTTGATAGCTCGCAAACCAGAAGGCTGTAATTAGTCCAGACAAAGTATATTTATTGGCGATCTCGTGTTATCGAAAGAATACCAAGACGTGCGAACGAGTACAAGCAAAATGGTAGAACACGAGAAAGTTCGAACGGACAAGGTGGGCGACCGAACGAAAAATGATTTCGATACAGTTAAACAAAACGAATACAGCTAAACTATCACTGGTACAATTGGTTATAATAATAATTGTTTCCATTATACCAATCGCGTTCTCGTCGAAAAAAAGCAAGTCACTACAATTACATGGAAAAATTTCAAATCTTGGCTATAACCAAGAGAGATGTTCCAATGGTTCAAATGGTTTTCAACGAAATAGAAGCTTTCACTTAACGGGCTTCCGTATCTAGTAGCAGTAGATCGCCGATACCTCGAGGCAGAAACCTTCGAGTAAAGCTTTCATGTTATTGACTTACGGACTTATAACTCAGTGTTATGGAAAGAAGTCAAAACAATGTAAGCAAATTTACCATACTACTCGGCACTTTGTGCGGATAAAAATATTGTGGCTCATTTCTTTAGATTCATCGAAAAAGAAGCCTACAGCTTATTACAAAACTCTGGCATTTCCAGAAAAGCCTATTTCACTTCCTTATGCAACTCACAAGGAACCATGTAAAGTACACAAATCTCGAGTGCGGTAAAGGAGGAAAATGTTTCATCAGGACATCAAAATTTCCACTACAGTACTATTGTGGTGTGGTCTAATTATATCCATATAAGTAGTATATGGTGTTGGTCAGACATAGAATGTATTTTGGCAGAAGACCGATGAGGAGCGAACTGAAACGAAGTGCAATCGCTAGGAAAATGCACGAACAATGGAATTAGAGAAGAAACAGTGAAGATTGAGACTATTGGTTGTTAATTTGCAAATTAACTGTTTGTTGTATGGTTATCAGAATTTAGTGAGATAGTCTGTATTTTTTGCTTAAAGACATTCGATTGTCCCCAGTTGTGTTCTGTTCACTACACTACGTCATCCCAATCTAATGCGATATCGAGGTTATGCAGATAATTCATTGAGGAGTTGCGAAGCAGGACATAAAGATGAGCACAGGTTTGGTTAATGTTTGTTTTATAGCAAGTTTCACTCATTCAATCCATGTGTATTTCATAATCTTAAATCCTTTGAATGCGGTGATATCTGACATATCCAGTCAGTTTGTAATACTACTGTTCATTTCATTGCAACTAATACTAAATTTTGTGATTCTGGTCCCACAAAGTTGAGTGTTTCTGATGATCATTTATCTTTATCCGTGACTTCGAAAAACAGTATGGAATCACATAGCAGTCCAGAATTAAATGACACTCAGAATCATTGTGAGACAAAAGCTTCTAGTCAGTCAACTTGTTATCGGATTTCTCATGTTATTGTACTAGATATAGTTCGTCCTAATGAATCACCTATTTTCGACAAAGCTTCTTATAAACCTGAGGAAATAATGTAGAATGAGTAAGATCGCGATCAAAAATCTTATGCAGTTTTGATAGGTGCTGATTCTTCTGATGATCCATTAATTTCCGATGACGTTCATAATACATTCGAGTGAAATATTTCAGAAAAATCAAATCCTGATCTCATATCAAATGTTATTTGTGCTCATAATGCATTTGCTTCTTATAGAAACCTTGTTCAATGCGATGCACGATCACTAAATTAGCTCGATTTTGATCACATTCCGGATGGTTTCATATCAGCAGTTGTTTACTTTCATTATGAAGTCACTTATAGTGGATCCTGTAGTCAATATGAGAAATATATTTTAAATAAAGCCACATTATTTATGACCTGAGGACATGAAGATCCAACATTATTTTGTGGAGGAGGATAGTGTTGGAAAGTCGATGGTTCATATTCTAGATATGATAATAATATATTCTGAAAATAATATTTACAGAATTCAGTGGTTTCAGTACACAACCGGCATAGTGATTGTATACAATTCCAGGACCCAGGTGAGTTTATTCCCATTTCAGTTGTTGGTTGTAATACTAATGAGTATATTCTAGATCGTGCAAAGACACATGATGAACCTATGGGAAGACGCACGGTTGATAGCATCTGGCAGGTCTAGATCACCCAGCTTTGCATAACTTGAGGCCGCTGGATAAAATGTCAAGACCATAATATATTGTCGAAAATAATAATTCTTGTTTCATCAAAAGCGTTTGGAACATTACTGTTTTCACTCCTGATAGCAAAATTTGAGATGTGTTTCACTAACCGCTTTTATACCGTCTTTAAGACTGCCTGAAAAGCCGGATGTTCCGCATTAAGTTCAACAGTGTTCGCGACCTAGAGGGTCTCAACATTACAAGTTTCACACTGAACCATCTAAAGTCCACTAAACTTGTTGGTTGTCAGTAATCACCGACCAGAAAAAAATAGCTCACCGACCCTCGCATACGCTAACGACACCATTATATGGAAGTCCATAAAAACTAAAAGGGTCCACTTAAGCTCCCGATGAAACTGAAAACAATAAGGAAATGAGCAGCCAATAATGATTTAAAATCTAGCATGTCAAAATGCCGAAGAAAACTTGATGCAGTCATTCCGGAATCGTTTCTTACACTTTAAAACGTACTCAAGGCCTAAAATGGATATGGGCAACTGTGTGTAATGAACTGAGGAGCGAACCTCACGAATAAATACCTCGACATGGAAATATTTTTTCCGGAATATTGGAGAACAAGAGGTAACGATACACAACGGACCAAGTACATCGAATCACCGTAAGATGGATACCAGAACACTCCCACCATGCTCTTCGAAGAAAACCCTAAAATGCTCCACATTAAAGAGTGAGAACTGAAGTACACTCTCGCTCTTTCTTGCTTTCATTTGAAATACTGTCTCAACTTAGTGCCCAAAATCCCATTGGTGAACAGCTTCTAGAGGAGTATCAGTAAACACATAATCACCCACGAACTGTAATCTCTCGCTCGAACTACCAAAACCCATTTACGCCACGTAATCTAACTACTGTCATCATCAGCTTAATCAGCCGATTAACTTATTTATTTACTTTCATATTAAAACTATGGCCTTCTGTTGTCATTTGAACCTCCTTTCCATCATTATTCGTATTGTAACTAGCCAACTTCCTTTACGGAAACATGGAAGCCGCTGGTCCCAAATGTCCTGATGCCATAAGACAAAATTCCTCAGAGTTCAAGAAATATAAACCATCAAACAACCAATGAACTAACTGGAACTAGTGCAACTAAGCGGTGAAACGTCTTCTCATCGCACGTACAAAACGACCTGGAAAAGTACAGAGACAAAAAGTGAGAGCCAATAAATCAATCAGTCTATGCAAGCTCGTCGCAAAGATATCAAATAAATACCGCGCACCTACTGATTTTAGGGCACTGTGGGCTTCTATTAATTTAGTCGTGTATACTTATGGATCTCATAACAAGTGCAAGATATTGGTTCGAAGTAAGTGAGCATTTCATAGGTCTTTAATAAAGAAAAATGAAGAGAAGTGGAGGATGGATGGAGCCTCGTGGTATTTTCACTTGTCACTGAAAACCGATTGAGAAAATTACAATAAACTGTAAGAGCCTATCATATTCCAACCAGGCTGTATGAAATGAGCTTCACTGAGGAATTCAGTATGGAATTCGATGACCAGGTTGACTGAATGCCGCAAAGAAGTCCAGTAAAATAATAAGCGACAGATGATTGTGCTCCATTATATTACTTTCAACAGGTATGTGAGGATGTCACGGAAACGCACTTTAACTCATTGTTCCGATACAAAATTTCTTTTAGCTCAAAAACCTCAGAGTCAATCAGAACATAAGCTGAGGATGAAGATATTCAGAGGAACGGTTGATTACTAGTTGATGTATCAAAGTTTACGCGATCTAAGCTGGTTAGCTATCGTAAGAGACGCGCAGCTATGAGCAACTATACACATGGACAAGCGGCCTCGCCTAGAGTGGTGTTTATCAAAACGGATGATATCAAAATTATTGCTGAAAACGTGAAAAGTTACTCATTTCAAGGATTTACTAACCACTAAATGTGAATCCCAGGATCAACTTATTTGAAAATTGTGTTGCGTTCCACATAGAAAAAGTATGTTTAGAAGACAGTCACGAAGAAATTCAGTTATTTCCCCTCACATGGTCTCCACTCATTTAGCAAAACGGTGAATTGATAGGCAATTAGGAGCTTTTACTTTGGCATTACTTTGTGTGCGAGTACAACCAGACCTTCCTGACTAGTTTCCATCATTCTTTTATTCTGAGAAATAAAAAAGTTGTATGATAGCAGAAAACGAAAAACTCTTAGTCGTACCCAGAACCATACAGTTGCTTTAAAAACGCTTGCTAGACTTAATAGACAAAACTTATAGATTTATGAGAACATGAACTTACAAGGCTTTATTAATTCACGTATGTCGAATGATGACAAGAATATATGTTTTATAAAAACTCAGAAAGGCAAATGAGTACAGAGCATAAACTGATGTTCTGATGTATGTCACCATTTTTACCATCGAATGTCAGTTACGGAATGTGTGATATCATAGTTTTCTTTTCTTATTTCAATTTATGCATACACGCGGGCTTACTAAGTACGAGCCATTTTTAAATAATATGGCTACGAAGTCAGCTTGTTAATTTAGGTATACGTTTTTTTAAAACTTCTGAGAGTGATTTGCAATTCAATGTTCTGAATAAAAAATACTACGTTGGTTGTTTGGAATTATTTTTCTCACTTGTGGATATTTCGCAAACTGGTCAGATCTCAATATAAATCCTTATTCTTACTGGTAAAGACTCACAAATTATTTTTACAAGATGAACAAAAAATGCATTGATGTTGATGTCATTCTACTTGATTCATCGACGAGGTGCTTTCATCTTCCGGTGAGTCGTACCGTTAAATTTAAAGTTGTTAATTATTTTTTAAAGTATTTCTATGTCATTTATTTATGTAAAATTACATATGCCAAATTATTTTTCGTTTTACGAACATTCATTGCAGTTCTGGTGACGCTAAATGTGAATTTGTTTATCATAGCCCAGACAATAATTTTCTCACCAAACTGCCTTGCAATGCAGAGACTAGAATATTGACTTGTACCCATGAGTTTCCACACTCTATATGCAATATGAATCTATTAGCCAAACAAAACTCTAATTCAGCCAGCTATTTCTGCTTACTATTCCTCCGTTTATTATCTCCATTTCCTTACATTTTCTTCCCTCTTGACATTTCTCCCATAATTCTTAAAAGTGCAATAAACATTGTTGGTCACACAAGATCAAATGGAAGATTTTTCAATCATGCGGCAGTGGCTAGTTCTAATATCTTTGTTGTTTTGGATAAACTCTGTCATCTACCATGGACGTAAATCAACCTTTCACTAACTGTGATGATGTGACTGCTTCTACGAATTTCGGTTAGCATTATAAGGGTTAGATTAAAGCGAGGTTGTGGTGTAAATCGCATGTATATAACTAATCGATGTATCAATTACTACAAACAATATCCAAAAGGTGATAGAGTAATCCCCAATAAACATAAATAAATAACTTTGTGGCATTTCAGGATTTCCTGTGTAACCAAATACAAGTTGTGACCATAAACATCAGTTCCTTCCTATCCATTTTCTACTTCAGTGTCAATCCATTGTTGGTCTTAGGTTTTTTAAAATTTCTTATAAGATCAAATTATTTTAGTTATATTTTAAACTGTAAAAGCGATCAGGTAAAAATGAACAAATTATTGGTGTTTTCCAAAGGTGTTATGATTTTAGGCAACTAGTATCACAATATTCAGATGAATCACAGTACTTTTTCCACAGACAAGGTTGAAATATAATGTGACAATGTATATCATAATAACAGTTTGGAGGGAGACATTTTCTTTGAATCAAGACATGTTATATGATCATGAATGAATCACACCAGTGTAATGAGCTTTGAGTTCCCTTTGTGGTTTGTAAAATTTAAGTTGTTGGAGTCAGTTAGTCATTATCTACCCATAAATTATCTAATTTACCACAACTGAAATGAACACAAGGGGGAAGAAATTTACAATATGCCAAGAAAATGAGAGGAAAACATTCAAACTATGATGAAGGTATAAACATAGAGAATACAATTCAGTGGAAATAAACAGGATCAACAGCTCAAAAGTTCAAAATGGAGTTTGACTCAATATTTAGAAAAGAGCATAGTACAAATGCATCTGGCGCAATGCGACGCACTTTGGAATTTGGTTTTATCAGACCATCGATTGTGATCACGATATAGAGCTTAGCTAGGAAACGTATTTTAATCATCACAATCCAGTCTAGCAAACGGGAAATTCATGGATTATTGTCCTGTCTTGATATGTCCGTTTGTAGCTTTGTTCTGATTTGTTGTGTAACTCTAGTAAAGTTCAATGACACAACAGTAACACATTTGAGATTATTTCGCAAACTATTTCATAAGGCAAATATCTAGGTATGTTACCATCTATGATGAAAAACTGTTTTCCCTTCAATATATTGCTTCTTTTTAGAAGTACCCGTAAGAGGTTCGTTAAATCAAATGAAGTAGTGAGTTCTGAAAGATAAAGAAGACTTATCTAAAATATCGTTGAGATTTCCAATTTATAAGATGAGGATCATCCGGGTGTTTGACCAGTTCAGGGCATACTTTCAGCAAATAACAACTTCCTAATATCACTTTCCCTATAAAGTTTAACTATCTAAAGTATAATGGCAAGTAAAATAAGTGTGCTTATAACATGCATTTGATTTTGTTCTTCTTCGCCTGTTGTCAGTGTATAAATAGATGCAACGTAATAAGCATAAACAGCAATTAAACAATGTGGCCAATTCATCAAGTTTAGGTCTGTGTGTTCATTCTTTATTCAATTTGCATGTAAAAGAGTTGTTGATAACACCAAGCTGCTTAAATCGTGGCAGAGTGAGATATTAGAACCTTCCACCTACTCGTTGGAAGTCCAGTGTCTTCACCTTTGAGCACTATTCTTCTGTAAAATTATAACTCGACGTACATTTAGTGAGTGGAATTATCTGTTTTTATCAAGTTTATTTATTACCTAATCAATTAAGGATTCACTTATGTCTCAGAGTTCCTACTCCAACAAATAAAAATTTATAGTTCATTAAACTGTTGATTGAAAGCCTATTTTCAATGGGCGCATTATTTTTCTTTTGCGAAATAAATAGCTTTACTAATTACCAAAGTAAGATGCTACTAAATGATCGTTCAAAGTGCAGTGCTGTTTAAAAAAAACTTTCACAAAATTATATAATGTACTGCAAAGCGAGGTCGGTCTGAAAAAATATTGAGTATTTTCACAATAATATTTAGGCAATACAACCACAAATGTATATGTCCAAGAATTTACGGTCGAAGCGCATAAAAATAAAGTGAACGAACAAATAGCTACGACTGAAAATGTTAGATATGTAAGGCTTGACGCACATAGAATTAAAATTTTCATGTATCTGGCACTGAAGATGTGTTGAGGATTACCAACACATATTCATATCAAGAACAAGTTGTTCAAGTAGTTGATTTCAGATATCAGTTCAAGATTTTTTTTTTAGGTTGAACCTAAATTCTATCATCCTTTTTTATGGCTGATAAAAGCCTTTGACTATTCTGTTTTCAACAGCTCTAACCGAGACAGAAGGACAATTTAGACATCTTAATTACCATAGCTTTCAAAACCGTAAAATGTTTTCTCTTTAAAGTTCCAGTAGAGAAATTTAAAATGTACTTCGAAGTCGGTATAATGAATTGTTTCAATTATGCGGTTCAGTAAAGAAGAACGCGATTATCTATTTACTGAAGTAGTCAAAAATTACTTAACTAATTCACTATTTTTTTAGATCAGAAGTGCATCAAAAACGAACCATTTATTTTTGTTCTCTTGTTTATAGGTTGGAATAATCTCGTTTTTTACCTCATTAAATCTATTCTTGAGCCTAATCTCATAAAAGTGCTGATCATCAATATTCTATTCACGTTTTTTCATATCAAGAGATCTTAATAACTAGTACTCGGGTCAGGTTTTCCACAAATTACATGTAAACATTAGCTAAGAGTTGTACCAAGCGGATATACACAGTAATTTTATCAACTTGTCAAAAATAGATATTTTTGGGCGCGATTTAAACTTTGCTAGTGTATAACAATGATAATTTTTAGGTATTTTATACCAGTAATGGAAAAGAGAATAATCAGAGGATTTAAAATTGTGCAGCATATCAATAGTATTGACTAAAAGTACATTAATGAACTTTGAGTTTACATGGTCCTTTCCTTAACATTAATATTTCAGGAATAATCAATACTTTCAAGTCTCTTTTAAAGAAAACAACGATAATTTGTCCTAGAATAAACTGAGAAATTTCAGCAAACCTTTCGCAAGTTATTGTGTGGGCAAACGGCACATAGTTAATGTTAAATTCAATACATTATTAGGTTTGTGGGTTTTAGATAATCTATGTATGTTTTAACGTCCAAACCAGACAAACTTGAAAGTACTAAATTCCACTTAAGCAATAATATTTCTGTTAAAAAGTTTCTTATGGATGAACGTTACTATCTTTTCCAATTTTTTAACAACCTTTGATGAAACATCCATCGTGAACTTGGTCACGTCACCAAGAATATTCACGTTTGTTTATAACAACCGTGTTTAAACCATTATGCTGTTTGAAAGATGGAAAGACTGATTAGCTGTTGAATGTTTTATTAACAAAGTGTTAACTACTTTTCTATCACATTAATTTATATTGGTTTCTTATAGTTAAAACCCTAAACTGAGATTTACACCTGAGTTCTTTATTTTATGCTAATACTTACTTGTTAGTTCTACTAACTAATCAATTGACCAATTGTTGTACTTGTTTTGGTATTAACCTAATAATGTTCTTATGAACAGCACTTACTTAAAATATATACTGTTCAGTAACTTGCCACTACTTTATTGATGTTTATTTTTGTTATTCAATTGTAAAGTAATGAATCAGTGTAGAGCTGTGATAAAGAACCACCTGAAAGAAATGTTTCTCTGATATTTTGAGTTTCTTCACAATTTATTTACATCTAAGACTTTTATTTTGACGAGATGGTTATTTGTTGCTAGTTTCTAAATATTGACAGTTCATAACGGTTCAACACAATGATACAAAGTTTTATTAGCTTATCCAGCTATCAGATTGGTAAGTAAAACTGAAAAAATAGTCGATTAATATTTCGTTTTGACAGTGGAATCCATTGTTACCCATTACTAAAATTCTCTTTTTTTGTGAGCTCCGTATCTATATCATAGAGTATCACTTTTGAGTAAGCTATATTATTCTTCTTTATGCTAATCGATTATTATTTACTGGAAATCTTCGGAGCAACGCATGTTTTGATTTTAGAATACTAAAGTAGGTGATATTTTAGCTCTCAAGCTAACAATAAATGTGTTGACATCATGTTTTATCGAAATTACGAGATATGGTGAGTAGGAAATGTTAGCTTCATTCTTTTTTCTAGGACAGCTAAGTGGGGCTACATCCTATGAATTTAAGATCACACAACAAACAAACTCACTGTTTTTTTGTTAAATATTTCACTTCGTAAGTTAAGGACTAGTATAAGCTGCTTCTCGAACCGGAGTACTTGAGCAAAGAGCCACAAGCATTTATATGTTCGTCTGGCACTTTTCAAATATCAAAGGTAGTTTAAATCCACTTAGTCTATGGATTAAGATAATGATTTCAGATTGTTGGCCCCTACGGTGCCTAGTTATCTTAAGCAAGTTCATGCTGTTGAATTTATTGTGGTGTGCTACTTATGTCGACATAAGTAGTCTATGACGCCAATCAGGAATAGAAGGCCAGGCAGCAGAATGTTGAGAAAACCGAAGAGGAAGGAACGGGAACAGATAGTAATTGGCATGATAATGCAGGAACAATAAAGTCTGAAACAAATAATGAAGTATTGGAGTATGGTTTTTCTATTTTACCAAGTAATTCTGTAATCGCTTCTCAATTGTATTCTCGTTCACCACATTATTACTTAACGAAAGTAAGTGTCTAATCAACATACTATTAGACTGGGATTATTATGTATTAGTTCTCTTCTTTTATTTATTTCGTTGCATTAGTCAAGTGATTATCAACTATAAAACAGGGAAAATACATAATTTTCAACATAAGTTTGCATGATATTGTAATTATTCAAAAATGTATGCACTAAAAGCCGATTACTCAATCCTTAATTCTGTATTATAATTATTCGAAAAACAGCTCTTACATGTTTTGTGTTTGCTAAAATATATCATATATACTTTACTGTTGTAGTTTTGATTGACCTGAAAACGTGTAAAGTTATCATAAAATATTTCAACTGAATAAAACAAATTAATAACTTCTTTTTCAAAATTATTGCCTGCTGGTTCTTCTTCAGGATTTTAGAGGTTTCGTCCTTATGAGGATAGTTGATATTATTCTTATTACCTTGATACGTATTACAGTTTAGACGTGTAAGCACCTGATTGTTTATTATTAGTCACATCAATAGCAATATTTTTGATTTTGTAACGAAAAGGTATCTGTTAAATAGTCTAAATTAGCTTTGCCAACACAAACTCTGGCAAAATGCTAATTGTTTGTGTAGTTAGGTGAAGCTGATAAATTTCAAAGCAATAGAATAGTTTTTATCCCGTTAAAATCAGATAAGTTATTCATTTTCAATATAATCCCTAGATTTCTAGAATTTAGACCCTTGTGGAGGCATGATTTATAAAATAATAAAGGTCAGTTATAACTATTCGCCATACTTTAGATTTCACAGACACAATGAGTTGCATTAAAGCTTTGGATTGTAAAGCGAATTTTAGCATACATAAATATACGTATCTATATGAAATAACTACTATATGCAATATAACAAAATTTGTTATTTAGTTAATACTTTTTCTAATGTTAAGAAACGCGACTTTGGTAATCACAGATTTTATTGAATATCTTTCATTTAAGCAAATAAATAAATATTTTGCTACTAGTTACATTTTTTTCTTCATATAGCGATAAAGTTCCTTTTTTCTTCGAAAACTTACCTACTTATTTAATGTTCTGCATAATCTGTTTTGTAGCCTCGTTCTCCTGGACATGAATTGTACACAATGGTTGTTGAGCATCTTCAGCTGGTCGAATATGATTACTTTGATTTGGAATATATTAACAAAGATGGTCTCCACGTAAGTCGTATTAATTTGTTATTATGTTTTACATGGCCACAATTGCAATAAATTCTGTTACTAGTATGTTTAGTGAGTGTTGTTAGGAAAAATGGAGGTTTACGATTCGAGAAAAAAAGCGATCCAATTTTTTATAAACTTGTATTAATTCAGGTAAGTATATAAAAAGACTATCAATTTGCATTTCAAGATACAGAAATAAGCTAGATGTGATCAATATATTCTACAGGCTGCATTATTTAGGAAAGTAATTATACGCAGCAATTAGTAGTATGTTCAGTCAGCAAACAAATATTATATTGTTTGTAATTAATGGTTTTATCTTCAAAGTGATGAAGATAATTTTCGTGAGCACTGGGAAAATACTTTGTTTTCAATGTTTTTTCTCTCGAAGAAACTCACTTATGTTATGTGTTTTAGTGAAATTACAAATTAGGTATTTATTAATTTTTTGAGATTTCATACAGGTATTGTGGTTTTTCAACCACCATATTACGTGAAAAGTTTACCCAATAAGTGGTTCCTAATTAATAATATATTTTAGTTCTATATCTCTTGGTAATGTTATTCGTTCTTCAAGTAAATATGTTGTGAGAGTTCACATCACTATAGAATATATATAAAAGTTGAACTTTTGTGGCTCACCTATCAGTTTATTGAAACTCAGTGTTACATAATACGTGTGTAGGGTTTTATGTCTTGAACTTCCTGATAAATTTAAGGAATAACAATCCAGTTCAAATTCCCTCCAAAATAAAGGTTCTATCAACTTTTCGTTTGTTACTTATTATCTATTTCGTAAATGATTTATGCCTAGGCTTCTATACGTGAGATTGCTTCAATACGAAAGTTTCTTTCTTAGTAGACAATACTCATTTAAATAAATGTATTATCTCTTACAGTTTCTCCATATCTAGAGCAGTTATGTGTATCAACATTCATCTTTAGCTTTATATTTGTGCTGGTAGTGTTTGGCTTTACAACCCTGTTGACAATTCCCATCATTCAACAACTGATTTGATAGTCTCTTTTTTCTCTGGGTCTTGATCATCTTCATTTATTACTTGTTAACTGAAACGTTTCTTCAAGTGAATTCATGTTTGTGATTGGGAAAATATTTTTATGGAAGTAATAAAACGTATTGTTTAACAATTAAACTGTGTGTGTAAGGAATAATGAAAAGGTAGCTACTGTCACTAACTGAATTACAAAATTAAATTTTAGTTCACTGCTGTACATTTTCAATTCAATTTATCTACCTATGTATTTAATTCTTCATGTCTGCAATAAACATTATAAGTGACATTTTTGAAGACCAAAGTAACCAAGCAAAACTCTCTTGTATATTTCTGTTGTAAAAGTGATTAACCTGTTCGTTTCACTTTATTATTTAATTTTATGTCATGTCAGTATTATCTGTTGGAATATCTTGAATATTTTAAAACATTTTTCAAAAGAAAAATTATTTAATTTATTTTGTAACTCTTCATAATTTTTGTTTAATTTTATATTTTCCAGTGTTGGTTAGATCATTCAAAAGCAATAAATAAACAAATAAATATTTCCAAAAGATTTCTTTATTCTTTCGTTGTCAAGTTTTATACCCCTCATCCAAATTTATTAGAAGATGAATTGACCAGGTAAGTGAATATGAATATACTTATACATAGCTTCACTAAACGGCCTTTGATAGTGAAATATATTTTTATTGAATCCAAGTTATATTATTTATGTATTATTCTAGCATAGAATATTTTTCACTCTGTTATTAAAATACTTGATTCGTTTTAATATGTTGTGTTTGTCAACAAAATCGCCTAGAAAAGACTTCTGAGTAGAAAAAGTTTTTACTTTTTTGAGAAAAATACTCTACGATTATTTTGATTAAGTAACTTAGGAAGGTGTCCTGTATGATTCTTAACTTGAAATAGTTTTATCGCAAGAAATATTTATTATAACACATGTTTAGTCAAGAAAAACTCCAATTACTCTCATAGAAACTTGATGCGAATAACTTTATTGCGATGTATCAATAAGTTGATTGATTTTCCAGAAAAATTGTTAAAGTTATCATCTTTTTCTTAAACTTGAACACTTAAATAAAAATATGATTTCTGTCAAATTTGATTGAGACATTTGAAAATCTAACATAATGTGATCTTTGAAAATGGTGACAATATGATGAAATCTTTTGTTTATTCTAACCTATAACCCATTTTGACAATTTTTCAAACTATTACTTACTTAAAATGTTTTATTCCTCAAAACAATATATTTGTAAGATACAAACCAATTACATAAAAATAATGATGGAATGTCATAATAGGCGTGATTTAAGACAAATTACTGTATATAAAGAAAATAACTTATTTAACCGTAATATTATTTTACTTAATTGTTTTGATGCCAGACCTATTTATTTACGATAAGCATTTGTTAAGGTAGCAATGAGCAAAGATCAAACGTCAAATAACTATAGAAAAAATATAAGCTTAACAATGTTCAACTTATTTATCTGTGAATATCTGTTTTGTACAACTTTGATGACCTGGACAAAACAGAAAAAGTAAAATTTACATAATAAAATAAATCGCTTTTTATGACGAATATTCTTAGTTATAATTATGTAAAAATTCTCTCTTCTAATTCTTCGACAATGTTTTATTCTCATTCAACAGACGTTCAGCTTGACAAATGAACGAATTTTCTATCCATTTTAGTTTTAATTTTTATAATGACAACTTGCATTGTTATGTAACGATCTTGTTACAATTATTGTTTTATTAAGCTAGTATTCTTCTTAAGTTAATAATGTTTTTGAAGAAATAAAAATCAAACTTTTCGAAAGCTTATAATCGACGTTGAAGACATAAGTAACTTTCTGTATAAATTAGTACATAAATGTTCACCTTCATTTTAGCTCATTCATTAGGCTTTACATATCTGACATGTCACTTCTCAATACCAACTGTATTTTTCGATTTTACTAATTTGCTTTATTATTTCAGACTGTTTGGATTGAAAGAGAGGTTTCACACATTTAAAGATAAATATAATTCTTTAATCCTTTAACTTTTGTTGTTTTGATGAGATTTGTCAAAAGCTATTGATCGTAGCAGATATTTCATACTTATGAAAACAAAACGTTTGGTCTTTTGCCAACATTATAAACTGGTTAGTGTATGCTATTCTTGTCATCCATTTACTAAACTGATTAGGAGTCAATGCCGATTACGGCTTCCTGATAGAATGAATTCTTTCCCCAGTATAATATTCCACTTATGATATACATGTGCATATAGCTATACACGCTATCGACGTGGATTAAATGAATAATATATATATATGTATATAATGTTTTATCCCCAAAATTATACTATTTTCTAACTTAATTTTTCGATTACTTTTAGATATCTATTCGCCTTACAAATCAAAATTGATTTACGTTCTGGTCGATTGCAATGTAGTGAAAGCACTGCTGCTCTTCTAGCAGCATTCATTGTACAAGGTGAGAAGTAATAAATTTATTATTTCTATGTAAATAAACTTATGTGTATATTGTAAAATTATTTATGAAAGATTGCATTTTCATGCTTATTTTTATTTTCACCAAAAAATATTATTTGTAATGCATATCGTTTTATTTGACATCAGAGGTTTGTAGAAATTCCTCACCATTGACCAACTCAACTAATGTTAAAAATAATATAAAGTTTTATATTATTTTAATAAAAAAATATTATTCTTTATAGTTTTAGCTTAAAACCCAATGATGATAAATTATATTTAGATTTTTATGGCAGATATTTACTTTCTAATGATATCTTCATAAAAACAATCACCTTTAACTGAAACATTGTTTTGATTAAATACAAAGTATTAACATTTTTAGAAGGGGGTTTTGTGGAGATTTTAGTAATTTTATATAGTTCAGATCATCAGTCAGTTGAAGCTAGACCACGATGGATCATGAATGGGCACTGCTGAGGAGTCCCATAATAGGACGAAACGGCCGTCCAGTGCTTCCAGGTTTTTCATGGTCTAGCTTCAATTGACTCATGATCTCAACTACATAATGTTAACATTTTTATTTTTAAAAATTTTTTAAATTTATATACTGTAATTATTTATTAAAATAATTTTCATTACATTAATAAATTACTTAAGATTGTTTTGTTATTGTTTAATAATAAAATTTTTGTCATTTGTTTATAGATTTACGGAATTAGTTATTTCTATGTTTTTTTAGCTAAATAAATTTGTATTGCAAGTAGTAGATTATTTAGCTAATGAAATAAAAACAGAATACAGTATTCTTTTGTAATTTACACCTCATTGAAAATTTCTTTTAATGATTTACCTCAAGTATCTCAGTTCAAAGGTTTTTTTTGAATTTCAGTTCTTTTAGCGATATGTCTAATGAAGTAAGATTCATTTTAAAAAATTTACTAAGTGAAAATGAAATATAATATCAAGTTTTTTAAACATTCATTAGTGATTAGTAAGTTGACGTAAACCGAAATATTATATTTGTCTATTGAATAATATACGATTTCATTTCTTTATTAATTAACACTAGACCGAACAAAGTAAGTAAAAAAGTGTATTGCGGCAAAATGGGTCTTTTACAAACTATTTCAATTACATTTGTTTATTTAGTCGTATTGATCCACTCTTCTTATCATGTTTTTCAACTTAATAATTTTCGTAAAAAAGATTCTATTCTAGTCTTTGACACAAATAATTGGTTATGATGATAAGTTTGCTTTTGATCGTGATTATAAAGATTGAGATATGATGATCACTTACTTTTTTAAGTTAAATTAATGGGAGTAACCAATCAGAATAGCTTTTGTTTGTAGTAGCTCATCTGAAATTAAAACATAATGAAACTAAATATCAAGTTAGATCGTTTAAGGGTTTCAGAACTTTGCTGAATAGAACAATGAATAGTCTATGTTCACTACGATATTTATCGATTTCAACACGCACTGTAATTGATTTACAATGGTAATCTTGTTCGTATTTAGTGAATAGTGACTAATTACAGTACCATACAATGTTCAAGTCAATTGATTTAAGTTCCACATTGCAAAATTGAGATATAATAATTGGTTAATACTTAAGACTAGAAACCGTGACATTTGTCGTATTACATTGACGTCTTAGTATAAAAGTATGCATAATGTTTCCTTAGTTAGGCTACAACTGACTGCTTGTGTCTGAAAAATGTGCATTGACTAGTGTCTAACTTTTTTATCGCTTCAAAAGAAAATATTGTTTTTGAAACATTTGTGGTGTAAAAAGCTAATGCCAAGAGTGAGTAATATTCTTCATTATTATTAAAATGGATATGTTATCCTTTATAGTTTTCTTTGTTCATATCACTCAGACAAAAAACATACTAGGTCTTAGATATTTTGATTGATTATCATACAATAGAAACAACATTTTGATGTACAAATAAATCAGTGACTTGTAAATGTCTATATGTTTTAGTAAAAAATAGAAATATGCTACCCTTACATACTGTTCTTTCGCCAGTATTAACACTGTGTGAATGTGTTTCATTATTCAGAGAGGAATAGTATTTGTGTCTCCCTAATTTGCTTCCCTTACGTTTGTAGTATTCAACACTGTATGATCACAATATCAGTCTTAATAAACTAGGAGACTAGGTAAATTGTTTCGTTTCTATAATCTATGATGGAAGTCAGTCTTTTTAGATGGTTTATGTCTGATGGTAAAATTATTTTACAATAAGAAGAAAATTTATGACGTTCCATCAAAAAGGAATGTTGGACTGTTATCGCCATATATTTATGCATTGATGCATTGTGTGCATAGGATAACATCAATGTGCTATTAATGCAACATGTTTTTCGGTTTTTAAAAGTGGAAAAATATCCCAAACAGATCCCTGTAAGCTATTTATACCCAGAAAAACCGATTTCTTTCTTATATATGAAATATAAACCTGTGAAATTGGCCTAAATTAATAGAATTTTTGTTATAGAAGTCGACACTTCTTTTTATTTCTGTAGAAACAAACAATTTTTATTCGTGGACGAACAAACCGTTCCATAGGGAGCATCAGTTCTGTCAAGAGTGTAAATATCATTTGATGACAAGTCCCTTTGAGATCGAAAACGATCAGCATCACGACACATAGCCCACAAAATCTCAAGTCATTTAGATTATCGTTTTCATTGGGGTTTAAGTGATAGAATCAGTTCAGCATTAAACAACTAGGAAATATAACATTGTTAACTGCTCAGTGATCAATCAATTTTACAAATGTCAACTTTTTTCAAAGTGTAAGATCTCTACAACCTATGCACTTATTTTGCTTGATATATCTTTATCATACAAATAGCATATTGAAGTAATGAGAGCAAAATAAAAGATAAAGAAAGGTGAATGTGTTCGTTCGAAAAACTATCCAACCAATCTAATCACTTATTTAGACTAACTGTCCACTTTAAATTGATCCACTCTAAAACTTAATAGGGGTAAAATTTTTATCAAAATCTATCCAAAAAAATAAATTTAAAAGAGTTATACACATACTTTGGAATTAAATTTAATAATCAACATTTTCCTAAATTATGAATAGTCTAAATATTTCATTATTGGTAATTTCAAACTAAATTGTCTATCAATTCATGTTTTCTTTCCTTTATGTATGTGTGCATGTATGTTACAATTAAGGACGTCATACAGAGTTAGTAGTTAAGAATTTTTATTTCTAACCAGCTATATTTTTATTTTGTAATACTTTATACAGACTGTTCATGGGTAGTAATAACCATGTCGATTGATGGACATAATAAACTGAATGATTTATCAGACTTAAAAAAAATACTGCTAGTTATAGATAAGCATAAATAAAATTCTAGTTTATTTTATAACTTTTTCCAAGTTCAATAAAATGAAAAAAGAACTTTAAAATTTGATATAAATAATTAAAAGAAATGTCAGTTTCCTAATTTTTATTTCAATGCTCCATCTAACGTCTGGGGGTTATGATTTGGAATTCTATTGTAAATCCTTTGACTTAATTGATGGAAATCGGTAATACCTGTATCTTTTTAAGGTCTGTTGGTATTATATACATATATTATTGTGGAAAACAATGTATCCAAGTAAATTTTATTCAGGATATTATGAATATATTCTATTTCATTGTGATTATTGACTCAAATAGCCTTGATTGGTCTAACATTTCCATATAAATATTCATGTATATTAAAGTAAAGCCTGATGACGATCTAATTGAAAACAATTGTTCGCTTACATGTGTTGTTTTATTATGAACAACTCTGTTGTGAAATCACTCAGCAAAATGTTGACTTTTGATAAGTGTGAAATGTATGGCTGCTCATTATGAAATGGTGAGTTACCATTGTCATAAGAACTAACTATTTCCAAGATAACTAGGCATTACATCAAAAGTGTAAAATCACATTTATTTTTATGCTGATCACAAGCATATAATAATTATAAACCAGAAAGTGCTAAACAACTATTTCTTTTAAGTATCCAACTTCTTAACAGGTAGTTAAATACGATCGTTCACTGAGCCTTTAAATTTTTCCATGAGTGTATTACATTTTAAGTCACTTAGTTTGTGGTATCCAATAATCCACATTTTCAATCCCATTTCATTCGTAAATCATCTGCACAAGGTACATTCGATAGAAAAAACTTTGAGTCCTCATACTTTAAATATATAAAAGAAGACCTATTATTTTGATCTCATCATATCATATATAAATCTGCTATTTGTGTGTTAGGTTCTACGTTGCATATGACTAAATTATACTTATTTGTGCACAACATATCAAAATATGAAATTAAACACATACTCAATTAAAATGAATTAAAGTTAATGGTAGAATTTCACTTTGTTATAAATTTCTTTGATCCTAACTGTGTAATTATATAATATTAATTAAACAAATAATGACTCTTTCCAATGATATAATATATTCACACAATATTTATTTTGAAAAAAAACATAATAAGTTATATGAAGTTGTTAAGATATTTAAGTGAAAATTTAAAAAGACATGTAAAACAAAATTGGTTACAATATAAGTATTATGGGAAACTGAGAAATATTATCTACATCGTTTTTCTGGCTTACTTTTAAATTTATCATTCCTTGGGTATTTAGTATATTAATATAGACTCTTTTTTGATCTTACAGGGGAGTTTAAATATTCGTAAGACTAGTACCTCAATTTACTTGATACATGTTTAATCATCTAGATGCATATCACGATTACTTCCCACTATTGTGATTTAGTCTAACACACATCCAGTCTTTTGATGAACGTAAATTAAAATTCAATCAGAGGAGTGATTTATGAACAATCCTTATGACAGTTTATGGAAACGCTCATACATGAATTTGTTGAAGCACTGGACATAAAAAATTCAAACCTATCTTGAGTAATTATAAATCTGTTTTAACGGTATAAGAACTACTTTGGTGTTATTTTA